ATTGTCATCATCTCTAAATCCAATCTAAGTTTGTAGCGTTACAACAATTGTCGCAATAATTGTTTATAGTTGTTGTTATTGCTTTTTTGTTATTTAAGACGTAACAGGGCAAATAGTACACCACACCGTCGCACCATTTTTTGTTTGAAATTTATGTGGGTGAAATGTCTTTGTGTCGTGTCACTGCGTCACCATTGTAGGTTTGGTGTGAGTGTGTTTGGTCATATACATGACAATGTGGCTGACTGACATCTTAATGACAAGTGAAATAATTATGAAATGTTTTTTGTGTTGTTGGTGTTGTTTTCATTTTTTCGATGTTCCAATGTTTGTTGGGTATAATGGTCGTAATGGGGGGTTGAAGATGGTCATAACATCCCAAATATGGTAATGGAGTCTGAAAAAAATTCTTAAAAAATCCACGCCTTTGGTAACTACTTAAAAAAATATTTTAAAAATTCACACCTTTGTTAACTACTTGAAAAAATATTTTTAAAAAAATCCACACCTTTGGCAACTACTTGAAAAAATATTTTTAAAAAATCCACGCCTTTGGTAACTACTTTAAAAAATATTTTTAAAAAATCCACGCCTTTGGCAACTACTTGAAAAAATATTTTTTAAGAAATCCACGCCTTTGGTAACTATTTGAACAAATATTTTTAAAAAATCCACGCCTTTTGGTAACTACTTGAAAAAATATTTTTAAAAAATCCACGCCTTTGGTAACTACTTTAAAAAATTTTTTTAAAAAATCTACGCCTCTGGTAATTAGTTTAAAAAATATTTTTAAAAAATCCACGCCTTTTGGTAACTACTTGAAAAAATATTTTTAAAAAATCCACACTTTTGTATAGACATTGAAAAAATATTTTTAAAAAATTATCGCCTCAAACGCCAAAAAATCCTCAAACCCTCCCTGTGCCATTTCCGTGTCATCCTATTGCCTGGCTTTTGTCATATTGTGTGTGTGTCACCATCCATAAATATAATTTAGTCATAGCTATTTTTATGTTGTTGACCAGACAGCTAACCAAAAACCTACACCGATAGAGTTAAGTAATTACAGAAAATCCAATCTGCACCTCTTCTCTCCCCCTCCCATTAATTTTAAATAAAACCAAACGGTAACGGTATACTTATGTGACAATATAATCTCATGTCATTCATAGCAAAGACTTTTTTATGTACTCTAAAAATAAAAAAAATATTCAATTCTTTATTTATATTGTGGGAGGGGAAAAGGAGAGGGGTATAAACCACAAATCCAAAAAGCCAACAATTCAGATTTTGTATTTTGATTGATTGCCTAATTAAAATTTCATTAACAATGTTCGCGGCGGGTGTCATTTTACACTGTTTAACAAAGAAAGCCAAATCAAAATTTAAAGCATACCTTTAGGCGTTAATTTTTTATTCAACAAAATAAAGGAAATTCACGTCGTAGCGGCACAAATAAACAAAATGTTTACACAAATTAAATACAAATTATCACCAAAAATTTAGAAAAAATTATGTAATCGATAAATACCTCCGTTATCGATAACAATTTCTGTGGAAAATCTAAAAATTTACAAGGTATTCTAAGAAAAGTCGTATTATTTGTAGTAGTTGTTTAATAAAGATGAACTTTTTTTGGGAAAATATTTAAATTGGTGTCTGTGTAGGTGTATTTCAGCCTTTAAACCCCCGAAATGCCAAATGACAAAACTTTTGACTAAACACTAAAATGCTCGCTCTTTTGACCTTTTAAATATTGTCATATCTCCCTGGAACCACAATAAAAATAAAAAAAAAAGTTTTGGCCCATTTCATTCCCTAGATAAATCGATCATTACAAAAAAATTCAGGTGTCGCCTTTGGCATGCGGGGAACCAACATTCCAACGTTTGATCCATAACTGTGGTCTTGTACTTTGATTACAAATTATAGCGGACAGATGGACATAGTTAATTGATTATCGTAGTTGAGATACGACGATAGGTATACTTAAAGGTAGGTGTCGTATTGTAGTAAATAGTGTGCCAGACTACAAGTCGATGGGCCACGGGTTCAAATCCCAGCGAAAGAAGAAAATTGCTTTCAAAGTGTTTTTTTTTTAATTTTTATAAAAATGCATCTGAAGCCACCAGACTAATTAACCATGCTCGGCATCACCATCTACACATAAGGAAAACAAAAGATACTAAAATAAAGCAAGGACCCTAACCAATACATTAAAGAAGACGTTGTTCCTAGGCAACGATAGATGGCAGTCTCATTAGCCAGGATAGGCTACAGCAGACCAATCATCTACTTAGGTGGAAAAAAATTAATGATTAACGAAACTAACACAAGAACCAAGAGGAGTAACAGGTGAAAAAAGGAATAATAATCAATCAAAATATGAAGGCGGGTTCAAATTCTAGCAGAATAGAAATGGGTTTTTGATAGATTAATAAAAATACATCCGAAGCCCACTGACATTCTAATAATACAACCTCGCCGTGTATTGATGTTACATGCACAATATAGGAATGGCAGCAGATAACGCCGCCCAGAGGCAAAACGTAATACTAAAAATAAGCAAGGACCCCAACCACAACATAAAATTCAATGAAACGTTGTTTCTAGGTAACGTTAGATGGCAGCCTCCATCCCAAAGTACAGGCTACAACTTGCTGGAATAAATCAATGACAGACACCTGACATTGTTTGGATAACACAAAAATAGGAATGACAGGCTAAGTAAGGACTCCAACCATTGCACAAATTGGCTTTCGATATTTGTAAAACTACATGCAAAGCCATCGAAATAGTAATGACAGGAGAAAGCACAATCTAGAGGAAAATTGCAACACTAAATAAGCAGGGATCCCAACCACTTGATAAAATTCAAGGAGGATTGTTTCTATGGAAGGATAGATGGAAGTCTCCTGACTCAGGACAGGCTACAGTCGACCAATCATAAACTTAGCTGGAATAAAAAATGATAAAGGAAATTAGCACAACGGCATTGATTACAAGCCAGACACAAAACTCGTAGAGGTATTGTATCTAGGTAACGATAGATGACAGCTCCCATCACCCTGGATCATCTACTCAGCTGAAATAAAAACCAATGTTTAACGAAACTAATACAAAAATTAATAGAGACAAATTACAGTGCTTTGTGGAAAGGCTATGCTCTCAAGGTGAGTAACAGGAGCAAAATGGAAAACACTTATTCAAGATATGATCGGTATATTAAAATAGATTCAAATGCCAACGGAGGAGGAAACTTTCTTTCAACTTGGTTTTCGAAGATTTGTGTAATGCATGCACAGTAATAAACATTTGTGGATAACACAAAATTGGAATGGTAGAAGGAGGTTGTGTTTTTTCTAGACAACGATAGGTGGCAGTCTCATCACATAGAACAGGCTACATACAACCAATCATCAACTTATCAAGTTAGATGGCAATACTTTGTAAAAGCCCTATGCTTCCAAGTAGAGTTACAGGTGATAAAAGGAAAATTTGCAGTCATGAAAATAATGAAATAAGGCTGACGGCCGTCGACTTCGAATCCCCTCGGGGAAGGAAACGTTGTTTTCAACGAGATTATGTGAATATTTGTAAAAATGTATCGTCATCAACACCAACACATGAAGATAACATAAAATAGCTACAGCGCCATCCAGAGAAAAATTTCAACACTAAAACTTAGCAAGAACCCCAACCACCGCCCGAAATGCACAAGGTGGCGTTGTTTTTAGGCAACGATAGATGGTAGCCTTAATATAAGGACTAATTAAGTAAGATGAAAGCCCCATGCTTGTCTATGATTATGCCTAACAAATATTTTTTGATGGTTTGTGAATTTTAAAAATCATTTTCAGACTCCTGCTTCTACAGCTTACCTAAAAAATATTTTTCGAATTTTTGTGAAGTTTTAAAATTATTTTTTATGAAGAACAAAAATAAAAAAGGAAAAGGGCTTGCATTTAGGCAAGTATATTTTAAAAAAAGAATTTTAAGGACCTACATTAAAGCTACATTAGAACTACAACAAATCTTGGATTTAATAAAAACCATATTTAACATATTTTTATGGGCCTACCACAAGGCGTGGTTTTTATTTAATATATTTTTAAGGACTTACATCAAGGCGTGGTTTTAATTTAATATAGTTTGAAGGACCTATTTTTTCCTTTTTCCAACTTTTCCCTTCCGGAGAAAAATAAAACTCTTTTAAAAAATATTATTAACTTATATTTATTTATAACAGAAACTTAACAATTCGTACGTTTCTAAAAATTTTGTTCGAATTATAAAAACACAAAAGAAAAAATAAAATTGTAATTGAAAAAGTATGTATTTTTTAAAACTATTTACAAAAATACAGTTTAAATAAATAAAAACAATAAAAGAGAATAGATTTTTGTTTGTACAATAGAGAAAGTAGAGAAGTAATCCTACAGTGAGCGTCAATAAGTTTTATTTTAAATTATTTATTTTATATTACCGCTGTACACTGAGCGTAAAAAAGTTATTTTTATATTTTATATTCCCGCGGTAACTGTGAAGGATTTTTTTTATTTGTTGGGTACTTTTAGCTCCCACTGTAGTTATAAAATTGTTTTATTTTTATATTAATTTTGATTTTTTTTCTTTAATTTTTATTTTTGACTTCAATAAATATTTTATTTTCTTTAATTTTGACATTCATTTGTTGGTTATTTCCTTTTAACGCTCACTGTATGGTATAAATATTTTTTATATTTTTTGTTTCTTATGGTATTTTATTAAACTTTTTGGAAAAAAATATATTTTTATTTTTTTCCAAATCGAGTTGTTTCCTCACTTTTGACGCTCACTGTATGGAATAAATAATTTATATAATTTTTAAATTTTTTTTTTTATATTTACGTTGGGCAACGACACACATTAATTGACTAGTTATATAACAAAATATAAATTACAACAATAACAAAAAATTAAACAAACAAAATTACAGCTTAACCCGAACTTCTTCAGAGTTATGAACCTTGCCTTCTGGCCAAAGGGGCCTTGACACCCCAGTCCTCCTTAATCATATCCGCTGCCTTCTCTCCTATCATAATAACCGGTGCATTGGGATTACCATTAACAATTGTGGGCATAATACTGGCATCGACCACACGCAAACCTGACACCCCATAGACCCTCAATCGGGGATCTACCACTGCAGTGGGATCCCAACTTGGACCCATTTTACAAGTGCCCGCCGGATGATAAATGGTAAAGGTAAATTGCTTAATACAACAAGCCCAATATTCATCACTGCCAAACTCGAGATGTTTGCAGCCCGGGAGGGGTATTCTGTGTAACCTCGAACCAAATCTCTTAAAGGCCTGGGTATCGGAAACATTCACCGCCAATTTGATGCCCTCCACCAGGACATCAATGTCCTGTTGATGGGCAAAGTAGTTGGGTATGATTTTCGGCTGTTGATGAGGATTGCGGGAATTCAGACGTATCCACCCCGTGCTTTTGGGTCGCAGAAGCAATGGTAAAATGGACCAGGTTTCGGAATTTTGTATGGGTTTATAAACCGTGTTGTAGAAGCCATCCCGAAGATTTAAAATTTTGCGGATTTGATCCCCACCATCGGAATTAATGGAACTGGGACAAAAATGAAACTGAATATCCGGCCAATCAACATTGGGATCCTGATATTTGCTGTTAAGGAAGGCCACACCCTCTACACCGGTATAGGTCATGGGACCACGCTCCCGCAAGATATATTCCATGCTGACTGGCATGGTTTGGAAACGACTGCGGGTCACCGTGAGAGGGGCATCGACCACAAAGGTAAGACCCCCCAGACCCACATGATCCTGCAGATTATTGCCCACTGGTAAATCGGACACCACCGGTATACCCAACTCCTGTAAATGTTCGGCAGGACCAATACCGGACAGCATCAGTAGCTGAGGACTATTTATGGCACCGGCACTGGAAATGATTTCACGCCGCACAAAGACCACATTTTTATGGCCATTCTTGACAAATTCCACCCCCGTCGCCCTTTTGTTTTCATCTAAAATAATGCGCGTGGCCTGGGCATGTAGCAGGACATCGAGATTTTTCCGCAACCTCACAGGGCGTATAAAAGCCTTGCCGGTACTGCAGCGCGACCCCCTTCTCATGGTGGATTGGGTCAACATGAACCCGGTTTGCTTCTCGCCATTTATATCCCGATTTTCATAGCCCATTTCCATGCCGGCTTGCAGGAAGGCAATTGAGAGAGGTGTGCGCCAGGGTGACTCCTGAACCGTGAGATAACCTCCCGTCTCGTGATATGGCGTTTGGGCCAGGTAGGGATTGCGAACATCCTCCGATTTTAGGAAGTAACGGAGGACATCTTCATAACCCCAACCGGGATTGCCCAGCGATTCCCAATGGTTGTAGTCATTTTTCGAACCTCTCACATAGACCATGGCATTGAGGACACTGGAGCCACCCAACACTTTGCCACGTGGCCAAAAACAACGATCTCCCTTCATGGCTAAGCAGTACTGGCGGGTTGCCGAGGGGGTTGTTTGATATTTCCAATCCATTTCGGTAAGCTGCAAGAACCCAGCCAGGGTGGGCACATCGGATATTTCATTTTCATCTCCTCCGGCCTCCAGCAGCAAGACTGTCCAATTTTTTATCTCCGACAGGCGGTTGGCCACCACTGCTCCCGCCGAACCGCCACCAATCACCACGAAGTCATATTGGCCTCGAATCTAGGAAAAAGAGAGAGGGAGAGGCAGGGAGAGAGAGAGGAAGAGAATGAGTTTTTTTTCTAGAATAAATTGCGAGAATTTTACTACTCACCACACTCGCCTCCTGCACCTTATTTTCCGGATCCACTGTCTGATAGCGATAATAATTCATACCAATTGCCAGCAGCGGAATCATGCCCAGCAATGAGGTTATGGTGCCGAATGCCATTTTTCAGTAATTGTCAGATCCAGGGATCCTCCTTTAGCTTCGATTTCGTCTTTGTCACAAAACCGTTACTCACGGGGGCACTGGTAGACAAACTAACCTCCGATAAGATCTTCGGAGTGTAATTCCTAATTCCACCCGGTTTGGCTATCTGATATTGGGCACTAGCTCTTTGATCCTCTTCCAAGATGTCCAAATACGATTTAATATACAAATGATGATCCAAATATTCCTTTTGTTTTTGTATGGACTTCGTGGATTTACTCGATACCGCCGACAAACCTCCACCACTTGTCACCGAGGCTGCCGAAGAGAAGCGACTCGGTGTACACTGACACGAAGAGTAGTAGATGCCACTATCTGTACTCTGAGAGTTCTTCCTTTGATGTCTGCCCTTTATGTCACGATATAAATCGTCGGCTGCCGCAAAGGCTCCCACCTGATAATCGGAACTTGATGTCGCCGTACTCGTGCTACAATGGCTATCCAGGGATTTCCTTGAACCCAATACCTTGGCAATTTTGGCCTTTTCGTAACTCTGCTTGGCCAAGCTGTATCGTTGACACTGCCTGTAATACTCTTCGTCGGTTGACGAGGAATTCGAAATGCTGGACGAAGTGTAGACCAACTCTTTGTGCTTCGCAGGGTAGTTGTGAAGGTGCGTAGACGGAGGAGAAGAAGAATGGGAAGAATTTATGTTGATGTTGTTGTTTTTGCAATAGGGATTGTTGTAGGTAGGTGTTTGATAGCTGTTGTTGTGTGGCTTATCCGAATGATGTTGCTGATGATGTTGTTGTTGCAATTGATTGTTGTTGTGTGTTGGATTTGTGTGCGGGAAAGATTGGTGCTGCAGTTGCCGTCTACTTGTGTAACATTTATTTTGTTGCTGTGATATCTCTTGTCCCATATTTTAAACGAAATGAAATATAGGAAGCTGTAAGGGAAAGAAAAAAAATAAAAATTAATAGAAAATTAAATTAAAAAAAAATAAATAAAGAGATTAAAAAAACAACATCTGGGTCCTCGATCTTTATATGGAGGCTAAACCAAAAGATCGGCGTATATTGATAGTGTTTGATTGGAATTGTTAGCCACCCCATGAGAACTCAAAATATTAAATTAGAGCCCCTTTAGCTTAAAAAAAAAAACATCTCGTAAATTCTCAAAATATCGAAAATCGGAGGGTATCGCTATAAGGGGGGCTATACCAAAATAAAGAGCGATTTTGAAGATTTTTGGTACGAAGGTTTTTCACCTTATGAGAACCCAAAATATTAAATTTCAGCCAATTCGGTTGAAAAATGTGTTTAATATCCTCAAAATATCGAAAATCGATGGGTACCTCTATATGGGGACTATACCTAAAAATATACCGATATTGATAATTTTTGGTATATTGATTTAACACCCAATGAGAACCCAAAATACTAAATTAGAGCTAATTCGGCTGGAAAATGCGTTCAATATCCTCCAAATATCGAAAATCGGAGGTTACGCCTATATGTGGGCTATGCCTAAAAGTAAACCGATATTGATTATTTTTGGTAGGAAGATTTCATAACCAATGATAACCTTAAATATCAAGTTAGAGCCAATTCGGTTGAAAAATATGCCTAAAATGCTCAAAACATCGAAAATCGACCGATACAGCTATATGGAGACTATAGCTGAAAGTGGGCCGATATTGATAATTTTTTGTAGGAATGTTTGCTATAAAATGAGAATTCAATATACCAAATCACAGTTAATTTGGTTGAAAAATGTACCCAAACTCCTCAAAAATACCGAAAATTTCGAAGTTCCGCTATATGGGGGCTATACGAAAACAAAGACCGATTTTGATGATTTTTTGTACGAAGGTTTTTCACCTTATGAGAACCTAAAATATTTTCAGCCAATTCGTTTGAAAAATGTGTTCAACATCCTCAAAATATCGAAAATCGGAGAGTACCGCTATATGGAAACTTTAGCCTAAAGTGGGCCAATATTGATAATATCTGGTAGGAAAATTGTATACCCATTAAAGATCTAAAATAACCAACTACAGGCAGTTTGGTTGAAAATTTTCCCCAAACTTCTCGAAGTTCCGCTATATGTATTAAAAGAAGCCAAAATACTAAATCACAATCAAATTGGTTGCCAAATAAAATGCCCTAAAACTCGTCAAAAATACCGAAAAATTCGAAGTTCCGCTATATGGGGGCTAGACCAAAACAAATACCGATTTTAATTATTTTTAGTACTGAGGTTTGGCACTTTATGGGAACCTAAAATATAAAATTTCAGCCAATTCGGTTGAAAAATGTGTCTAAAATTCTCAGAACATCGAAAATCGGAGGTTACCGCTATATGGGAACTATACCTAAAAATAGATCGATATTGATAATTTTTGGTAGGATGATTTAATACACAGCGATACCACAAAATACCAAATTACTGTCAATTTGAATGAAAAATATAATTAAACTTCCTAAAAAAAATATTGATAATTTTTGGTAGGATAATTTACTACACAGCGAGAACTCTTCAAAATACCAAATTATAGCCAATTAGTTTAAAAAAATGTACCCTAACTCCCCAAAATACCCAATTTTGGGAGGTAGCCAATGTTAATAATTTTTTGTATGGAGATTTCCTACCCAATTAGGGGTCAAAGCACCAAATCATAGCTCATTCAGTTGAAAAATGTGACCAAACTCCTCAAAATATCAAAAGTTCGGAGGTGCCCTTAAAAAGGGGGGCTACCGCGAAAAGGGAATCAATATTCATAATTTTTCGTAGGAAGATTTGATACCCTATGAGAATCCAAAATATGAAATTTGAGGTAATTTGGTTAAGAAACCTGTCCAGGCTCCACAAAATACCAAAAGTTCGGAGGTATTGTTATATGAGGGCTACCGCAAAAAGTAACCTAATCTTCATTATTTTTCGGAAGAAGATTTGATACTCTATGAGAACCCAAAATATCAAATTGAAGGCAATTTTGTTAAAAAAAAGAAACATATCCAAGCTCCCCAAAAATATCGAAAGTTCGGAGGTATTGTTATATGAGGGCTCCCCTAAAAGTGACCCAATATTCATAATTTTTCGAAGGAAGATTTGATACTGTATGAGAACCCAAAATATCAATATGGAGGCAATTTGGTTAAGAAACGCGTTCAACCTTCCCCATATGGTTGTATGGAGGCCACACTAAAGCGTAGGCCAGTCTTGTAAAATTTTTTTGTAGGAAGATTTCCTACCCATTAAGAACCCACAATACCAAATTACAGCTTATTCAGTTTGAAAAACATGTCCATAAGCCTCAAAATATCGAATACTGGGGGGTAGGTACCCTTAAATGATATATTCTATTTTCAGAACACAACATAGTAAGAGCAGTACAAATTTGGAATCTTCATATTAAAATTTGCGAGCTTTATCGTGATAGTTATCACCCTGTGATCGCAATGACTCAAATTATAATTAATGTAATTTCGATAACATTTTTGCTGACATGTAGATGGCGATGTTTTTGTTAATAGCATACAGATACAGAAACCCAATGGGTCAGGGCTGCGATAAAAACATCGAAACTATTTTTATTGCTTTCTAAAACAGTTCTCCCATATTTAACGATTCACATACAATTCAAATGAAACATTTTTTTTATTCAATTCCAAATTAAACTAATCGAAGATACACATTATTACGCATTATTCTTTCAAAGTAGAATATTTGCAGATTTTTATGAATGTTTGTGTTTTTTTTAAGAAAATACATTCCTGAACATTTTTAACCCATTTTTTACGAGTAGCCACAATCGTAAATATATTTTATTAAATATATGTAGTTATCACCATGACTCATACGATATCAAATGCAAAAACTTCATCATCTGAACTAGGTTTATTGCTTTTTAAAGGAGTCTGCCCATATTTACCCTACTGACGATGTGACGTATTTGCTACACGATTACACATGATATCGAACGAAATTACTAGGTTTTTTTAATTTTCCCCTTAGCATTTTTTGTAAAATTTTAGATTTTTTAAATATATATAGTTATGGATAGCAAGGACACATACCAAATAATTGGTAATGCAAATAACACTGTTAGCGACAGATAGATTGTGATATTTTCGTTGATAGAAAATACACAAACCCAATGGGATCATGGTGTTGATAACTACATCGTCATCGGAACTATTTTTATTGCTTTCTTAACGAGACTCCGCCATATTTACCCTACTCACATACTTTTCTCATAAAAACAACAAAAAACTAAGGGAACTGATGAGGATCAGTGGCGAGATCCAAAACTATAGTCTTCCCTGCCTTACCCCTCGGCGGACAATGCCATACATTCCCCACTAATAAATAGTTGTTTTTTATAAAAACAACAAACTGGGTTTAAGCCTGACTATTTTGCAAAAACAAAATACAAATGGTATCCCAAATAACCCGCCAAACACTACCAAAAAAATATATTTTTCCAAACAATTTTTTTTTTCAAACCCGGCTTTAAAAACAATTTTTTTTTCTAGAAAAAAGGCCTCTCCTAACATTTTTTGTAAATCCATTTTTAGAATCGTAGATTTTTTTCGAATGTATATAGTTACCACCCTGTGATCGATAGTAAGGACGCATACCAAAAATGATAATGCATATAACACTGTTAGTGACATATAGATGGCGCTGTTTTCGTTTATAGCTAATGCAAAAACCCAATGGGATTATGGCGTTGATAACTACATACATTATAATCGAAATTATTTTTATTGCTTTGTTAACGAGACTTCGCCATATTCACCCTACTGACACACAAAATATTAAATATATTATTGATTGATTGATTGGTGTTTTTGAAAAAATGTATATTTTCCCCAAAACAATGTTTTTTTAAATCGTTTTAAAAAATATTTTTTTCTAAAAAGGAAGCCTCTCCTAGAATTTTTCTAAATCAATTTTTTAACAATCGTAGTAATAGTAATCACCCTGTGATTTATAGCAAGGACACAGGCCAATAATATTCATCGGAACTTATTTTTA